TTTCTTTAAGGACTTGCCATAGTTTGCTGTGGTCCACACAGTCAAAGGCTTTCGCATAGTCAATGAAGCAGAAGTACAGTAGATATTTGTCTGGAACTAAGGATGAGACTAGTTTGATGGTAAATTTATAGCCAAGGACCTTTCCTCCTGGCCCTGTTAAACTACAGAACAAATCTTTTAAAAAGGCAATGGAAAGGACTCCCTTAATGCAATGTAGCAGCTCAAGAGATGGAAAGGGATATGAGGAGACCCAGGTTCAAACCCCACTCAGCCCCAAATTTCCCTTGTGAATACAGATGTCTTTGAGGATGGAGTACAAAGTGGGAGTGTGTACGTCCTGCTCTCACAGGGAGAAAAATGTTGTGGACGCTCTTGTGCGTCGTCGTAACCCCATATTATCTGAGCCTGGCCTATCTTGCAGGGTTGTTGTTGTGAAGATAGAATGGGGAGGGGGGGAAGCTACATATGAGCTTATGAGAGGAAGGAAGGACACAATAACAACACATCATTAAGTTGATTGCCGCTCAGGGGTGACCCTTCCCAGGCTGTGAAATCCTCCGGATACGCTGCCCCAGACCCCCCCCCCTTCTTTCTAGTGGCCCAACGATGGTATTATTTGTCAAGGCCGCCCCAGGAGTTTCTCTGTTCCCTCTGAATTTTAATGCAATCGTCCCAGCTGCTGGGAAGGAAAATAGAGTAGGTGTGTCCCTACTAGGATAGGGTTACAGTGCCAAGCATCTCCCGAGCAGGTTGGTCCCCAAGGGGCCATCGAGAGCCGTTGGCTTTACCAAAGACCTGCCCCTGGCGGGTTCCCCTCTTTGCTTCCGGATTGTCCGGACCCTCCTTATTTGTGTGTCTGTGTGTGTGTGTGGGGGGGGCGGTGGGGGGGTCCTCCCATTCCAGCTCTGCCCCCCCTGCCCCCATGGCTCCTCACCTGCCAGGATCCAGAGGGCATCTGGCTGAAGCGCCCGAGGCCGCCGAAGGCGTAGCAGTCCGGGAGGCTCTGCAGGGTCTCGGAGCAATGCCAGAGCAAGCCGAAGCTGACCTCCGGGCTGCCCGGCAGGCCCCCCAGGGCGGCGGTGGCACTGGCCCCGGCCCCAGTGGTCACGGCCACCTGCCG